CACAACCACAGGGAACTTTGAGTCATGGGACATTCCAAACATGGCACATAATTCCTTCCTTTGAAGATGGTAAGGTTTGTCTGAATCTAAATCAACCTCAACTCTGTGGTTACAGCTGCCTCTCAGGTAAGTTAATGAGAAGCTAAAAAACTGACCAACTGTCTCCCAAGCTCTAGAATGTTGAATAGCTGAAGCAGATGGGTGAGAACAAGGTTTGTGCTCCTCCAAATGAGGTTAACTATTTGAGATAAACACCCAGCAGAGCAGACACATGAATAACTCAATAAAGCTGACTTAATCATAGGCTAAATATATATGCAGAAAAACATATGAAGAACACATTCCAACATTTATGAGCCTTCTCAGATGGGTGCAACAGATAGAATGCTGGACTTGAAGTCAGAAGACTTGAGTTCAAATCTTGCTAAAACACTTAAAATGTGACCCTGGGCAGGTCACTTAGCCTCTCTCAGCCTCAGTTTCCTCATCTCTAAAATGGGGATAAAAACAGCACCTTTCTCATAAGGTTGTTGTGAAGATCAAATGAGATAACATATGTAAAGCACTTTGTAGTCCCTAAGAGCTATGTAAATGAAAGCTACTGTTATCATTTCCTGTCTACTCCCAACACACAAAACGCACCATGCTGGGATTCCCCCTGCCTAGGGAGGAAGAAACAAGACACCGCAGTTTTGGCTGGCTTTGTCTCATGTTCTAACAGTCTGGCATTCATCCACACGAATTACTGACTGTACATCTAAGCTCGGACACTATTATGTATAAGAGAAGAGAAGCAAATACAGACCTGGGGACAAAAAGAAGAAACAGACAGAAGGATGGTGGGAGGAAGAGAAGGGAACAAACTGATCATGAGATGAAACAAGAAGGGAAGTACATAGTTCACAGTAAAAACAAAAAGTATTCTTGACAAGGCTGAATCCTGACCCTGTACCTGAAAAAAATACCTTATTACAAGTAGGATAATTCTGTCCCATTTCCATGGTATTTCCAGGTACTTCCACGCATTCTCAATAAGGATTTGACTCAAATGGCAAGAATAAGAACAAATCCATTTATATATCTTATGACATAGGATCATACCTAGTAAAGTTTTTCATTATCACAGGGAGGGCACTAAGAGTTTGTGGTAAAGAATGATGTAATGAAAATGTGCATGTGTGCTTGTGTGTGTACATGTGTGTGTGTGTGTGTGCACGCACGCATGTGTGTGTTCGTACCTAAGACAATCATGACCTAAATACATTTAGTTCAATTGGTTAGAGTACTGTTAAATGAAGCCAAGACATCACTGGCTTAATCCTCACAAGTCAATTACCTCCAGAGAAAAGCCAAGTTCTCCACCAACAACTGGCTATACCACAAATACATGTTGATGGTCACAAAAGGGATAGAATGGGGATGTAAATGGCGTGGCACAAACCATCACCAGTACTACCCTGCTCTAGGCACAGGTGCCAGCGAAAGAGCTTCCAGTCAATCACATCCACACAGGATGGAAGCTGACATGTATGCAATTTAAAAGGGAAAACTATACCTATATGTAATTAACCCCTTTCCATAATTAACTTTTCTTCACTCAAAACAGAGATTTTGGCCAATAAGTTTTAAACTAATAAGGCAAATTATTTTGTCATTTTCCTTCAGATGAAGGCAATCCGGAAAATTCTTGGTTTCTTTCACGAAGCTGATTAGATGCAAGGATGTTAAACAGGAGGCAGGAAAAAAAAATTAGCAAAGTCTTTTAGAGAAAACTGTCATCCAATACCCAGAAACATGCTGGGCAAGCATTAATGACACTTCCAAAGAGACTGATTACAAAAAGAGCTGCATGCTGGCAGCTTTTTGCAATTAAATAATAAGTCATTTAAGATTTTTTAAAGAATTATATTTCTATCACCCAAGGCTAAGGTTAGGAAGATAAAAGGAAAAAATTTACAAAGAACACTGATTTGCATAAAGCACACACATCAGTAACAACAAACAGCATGCATATTTTACCTGGGACTGTAAACAGGCGAGGTACAAACGATAAAAAATGCACAAAAGAAAAACCAATGAAAATGAGGTAAAAAAATTTTGAAGGATGATAGTGACAACATGGGATAAAACAACTGCAACACTACAGCCTGTTTTTTTTCACAACCACTCTACAGGATGATACATACCAGACCCCAAGACCATAAAACCAACCCAATTCCTTCCCCACCCTAGCACACATCCTTCATACAAATTCGCATATGAACTGCAAAGGAGTAACAAATAACTGCTGTTATTCCAATTACCCCTCAAAGCTACCAGAACCCATTCTGGAAAGGAATAACTACAGGAAGTTGGCCAAAGGAAGCTGCAGTGTGTCTATAAATGATGCCTTCAGGTGAAGGGTCAGACCAGAAATCACTGACCTCCAACAGGGTACAATTTTTAGGAACAACAAGTGAAAATGAGTCACTTCCATTATCCTTCAGTTCTCTGGGCCACATACAGCAGTGTCACCTCCAAGATATGAGTACTAATAAGGGGAACCATATTGCTTCATAGTAATCATCAAGTCAACACCACCACCCCTACTCCAACTCTATAGACTAATGGAACAAATAATGCTTCGAAATAGCTTCTTTTTAAACCCTTTAGAAATATAAGGACCAAAACTCCATTCCTTTTCAGATAAGCAATTATTTGCAGAGAAGATAAGTCATGGGAACTGAACTACGCACTTGACTCCAGAAATATTAACCAGTAACTTTACAAAGCATAGTAAAAATTGACTAATTTAGACTAACTTGGAGAAAGGCTAATCCAAATAAATAATGTTATAGAATATGTTAAAAGAAATACAATTTTATTTCTTTCTAATACCCATTTTATCGAATGGATAAGGATAATTTGTAATGATCACACTGATTATCTGTATTACCACGTGTTTAGATACAGCTTGTTCTCTCAAGATTCTGCATTTCTCTCTATAATCCTGCTCCCAATATTGATTTGCCTAGCACGAGGTCTTTTCATAAATAAGTAAAATAAATTTCATAAATAAAGACTGAACTATCGTTGCATTGTTTTATAATAGTGTGCCCACACATTTTTATATGTGAGAAAAGTGAGGAGGGTACAAATATGCCTGCTTACTGAAGAGTCAGCAAAGCAAGAACATTGTTCTACTATATCACATTCTGGAGGTAAAACCTGGCTACTCAAATATATCCACACTGATACCCTTGGATGGCTGTCAATGAGAAGGAACTGGCTTCTCTCAACCCATGAATCTCTGGTTCCTGAGCCTTCACTCTTTTCTGAAGCCAAAGGGCAGGGCACCTGCATCTGTCTACAGCCTAGTAGGAATATTTTCAAGTGAAAAAATAAGAACAAAGCAGCAAGACAGAGCTGCAAAAAAAAAGTTTTCATCCAGAATTTTGAACAAATCAAAAATATAAAATCTATTCCTGAGCTGTATTTCTTAAATATGACATAAAAACCACTAGGTTCTATTCCTTTCTTTCAATCACTATGTTCTGTCATTTTTGAAAAATAATCCCTGAAATTATAACTGCATATAATTGTATGTGCTCCCAAGGTAGGCACGTTTTCATAAATAAAAGACATCACACATCTGTAATAAATAATACCAAAATGACTCACAGACTTACGTACTCAGTAATTATTTTAAGGTAGTATTTGGAAAAAACTAATACTAAGTAGTACTAATACATAAAAATTAAATGGAAAGCAAAAAGTGCTTATGGCCAATTATGTTTTCCTACGTTTTTTTGTAGTGACTAGTAAGTTTCCTGACAATAAAATAAATGTTGCTCAAATATTTTCATGTCAATAACAACTGTTTTCATGTGCCAAGGTAGCTCTACTTTTCTCCCATTCTAGTCACACAAAACAGCCACATTTCACTAGAAGAAGGTAACACAGTCTGAACCCTAAGAAATGCTACTTCTGAAGCTTTTTTCTATAAATTGCAAACAAAGCTCTTCTTCATGAACAACAGCTTAACAAAACTTCTAACAAGCAGCAAAATGTGTGACAAAATGTGTGACCTTATGAAGGCCAATTAAACTCCATTTTTATTTCCCAAAGTCATCTCAAAACTCGAGCACACAGGGGCAACTAAGTGGATAGAGCACCGGCCGTGCAGGCAGGAGGACCTGAGTTCAACTCTGACCTCAGACACTTGACACTAGTCAAGTCACTTAACCCTAGTCAAGTCACTTAACCCCAGTTGCTACACACACATACACACACACAAAAACAACTCGAGCACACAACCAACTCAAGAGACTAGAAAGGTCAACCAAGCTGGAGCTACATTGGGAAGAGGCCTGGTAAAAGACTCCCCCAAGTTCTTGGTCCACTAAAGTGTGTGGACTCACAGATCAGGCTTCCTTGATTCTGTTTCTAGAATGATGGAGCAGAAACAGTGCTAGGTTTGAAGTGAGGAGACTTAAGTTTGAATCCTTGCTCTAAAACTTAGAAGGTAGGGACACCCAGCCAGTCTCTTGTCCACTCTAAGCCTAACTTTCAACATCTGTAATATGTGAATAATCATGCTGATATGATCTGTACCATAGGACCATTGCATGAAAAGTTCTTGCTCAAAAGTAAAAGGATATCATTAAACCTGACTTAGTATTACTGTCTAGGTGCTGGGAGAGCCAATAATTCCCATTTCGGTGGCATTGTAAGATTTACAAGATGCTTTTTTAACAACAATTCTGGTAAGGTCATGATGTGAGTATTATTAACCTCATTTGACAAATGAAGAAACTGAGGCTCAAAGAGTTAATGTCATTGGTTCAAGATCACAGAGCCCCTGAGTTTTGGAGGCAGAAATTAGAACCAGGTTTGCGCAATCCTAGGCCTCACCTTTCTCCACTACATTAGGCTGCCTTTGAGGAGCCCCAATGCTAAGCTGCTCTAGTCACCGAGTGTTTGACTGTTCCCTCATGAATAAATTCAAGAAGAAAAAGGAAAAATAAAAGATAATAAAAGTGAAGGAATAAGGAAAAAAGGCAGGGGAGAGTATAAAATTCTTAGGTAAAGTGAAGCATTTATAAAATCTCCAGATTTTTAATCGTATCTTCTAGTTGTTCCATTTCCCAGCACACTGAACCCCACCCTATCACATGTCCTCCTTCCCCCAACACACATGCAAACATTTGCCCTATAACTGCCACAGATTAAAAGGACTAGCTTACAATGCTGATCCCATGTCAGAGGATTGGGATGAAGAAATGACAAGGTCCAAGTGTATACTCTAAAATAATTTATGGAAACCAGAGGTTGTGCTAAAGTAACAGAACTTGGTTGGGAGAAAAAATTATATCTTTATTTTCACTAACCACTAACTCGAATTTTAGCATTTCCTTCAATTATTATTATTTCTTTAAGCTTGATTCTAAGTAATCCTAAGAAAGGGTCCAACCATAGATTTCACCAAGCTGCTAAAGGGGTCCATGACACAAAAAACAATCCTTACCCTAGAACATCAGACTAAAATTCAAAATATGCTACAAACAGGTATGAAGCCATAAAGTCAGTATTTCAGAGTTACTTTCATTAATTATCAACTTATATTTTATTTAGCTTGGTTATCTTAATTTCATTGGTTTTGCTAGCATACTTACTTAGCAACAGACTGGATAACTTTGGAAGAAGTATCTTTGATGTTAGTAAAAAATCGTTCTGTTCCTCCTCTAAGTATGTCAAAGAAACCGCTATAGGACTGATCACACTCTGCAACTGTCATGCCTAAGAGTAAAGAAGATAACACAGCATATAATTATTACAGGCACAATCCTACCCCAAACGACAAGTAGGTCTCAACCTTCTTACATACATACATAAACATATTCCAATCTGTCATGATATTTTGAAAAGAAGGGTGCTCAGGGTAGCAAGCAACAGGACCACTCACACTTTTCCCTAGCCATGAAAGGGAGGGGAACAACAGCCCCCAGAACATCTGCCTCACATTACATGACCCAAGAAGTGCTCCACCAGATGTGCTCATTTCTCTCTGAACCCTTGCTCTGCTCCTTTGAAACAATTCTAGACCTTCCTGAGGGCCCTCATTTTAGTCTACTCTCTTAAGGAGGGAACTAGTGTCTTACAGAACCACTACTGCCTATTTCCCCATTTTTTGTTTCCAGAAAAATTTAAAAATGAATGCCGACATTTAAATGTTGGCAACAAGATTCAAATTCCATTTGTCAAGCCTCACTTGACGAGGCTAGAAAGTGGAAAAAAGATTGCTAATAGCTAATAGTTTCTAACGACTTCTCAGTTAGCAAGGAAATTAAAGGAGCAACAAACCTTCCTAAAAACTGAATTTTACCAGAAAGGTATCAACCCATTCAGTTAATGTACTGGTATAGACTGCTAACGTTAGGCAGCTCTAATTGTGAGTCTTCCTTCCACTGATGCTAGCACAACTGCTTAAACATGGTTCAAGGTGATTTTATGTAAGGAAATGCTTTTTAACATCATTTAATTGCCTCAGAATCCTCATGTATAAAAATCACAGAATCTCAAAAACTAGAAGAGACCTCATGGGTGCATCAGTTCAAATGATGCACAGAAAAATAACCCCTCTACAGCATATCTGACAAGTCTCAGGTGAGAGGGAACCTACTACCTCTCTTCAGTGGCCCATTCCAACTGGTTTAGCTTTAATAGTGAGGAGAGTTTCCATTAAATCAAGCCGTACATCAATTGAACTGGGCTTAAAAGGTATGACTGAGGGGTGGTGCACAAGCTAGAGATAAAAACCTGAGTGTAAATAAGTTAAGTCTGCAACTTACTATTTCTATGACTTTGGACACGTCATTTTGCCTCTACGGGCTTCAGTTTCCTCATGTATAAAATAAGGATTAGACAACCACTCTTAATTCTTTGGTCTTGTGACTTAGTTTTGGGACTTTTATTCTACATTGCCACACTGCTCTCCAAAACATCCAACCCAGCTTAGAGTCCTATTATAGTGTCCATTTACCCATAAACTCTGTACTAGATTTTACCATTCTAGTGGGTGGAAGGAAATATCTGAAGGTATCTTGATTTGCAGTTCTATAATTATTAAGAAGCTTGAACATCTTTTCATGGTTAACTGTAAATCATGAATTCATATACTTGCATATCATCAGTCTTATAAAAATGTAAGAACTCCTCACAGATTCTGATGTCAGAACTTCGTTTGATATAGTTACTTCAAACATTTTTCCCACAGCTTTTCTTTTGAGAGACAATGCCTTTTGTTTTGTAAATTGTTTTACATAATCAAGATCATCATTGTCACTGATTTCTTCAAATAGTTTTTTTTGCTGACAAAAATATCCTTTATCTCCTTGGTAGAGACAAAAAATTTTTCCTTTTTCTTCTACTTCTTAATGATTTAAAAAAAAATAGATCTCTGTTCCAGTTAGAACTTATTGTGGTCATGAAGATGGTGTGAAATGTGCAACTAAACCTATTTTTTGCCATACAGACATCAAGTTTTCTCAACAGTTTTTACTAAATAGTGATTCTACTTCGCAGTGTTCTTTGAGTGTGGACTGATCAAACACTGATCTTCTGTATTTAATGGGTTCTATTGCTGGATTTTCTATGCTGTTCCATATTATCCATCCTGTAACAGTTGTTATTTTAAAATAATTATTATAATAATTATTGCTTTACATAACATTTTGAATGTGAGAATGTTAGTCAATCCTTTTCTGCTCACATTCTTTGATAATTTTGTCTATTTTTCCATATTAATTTTTTATATTTTTATATTATTCTAAGAAATAACCTATTTATTTAGTGGTTCTACATTAAATCTGTAAATCAAGTTGGCAAGTACTGCCATTTAAAATATTTGCTTAATTTAACCATATACAAGACAAATTCCTCCATTTCTTTAGTTCTTTGATTTCTCACAAAATAATTCTGAAATGTCTTTGTGTAGGTCTCTATTCGAAAATCTGATATATGTCATTGTTATTATAAAGGGTAAGGGAAACATTTAACAAAGAGACTGTTTTCCTAGTATTAAATCTCACACCCAATTATAAATCTTAAGTGGTCAAATGGATTTTTTTAATGTATATGAGCATTTTAGTATTTTGGTATGAATACTCATTGTTGATATCGGTCTCTAACTTCTTTTTCTAGTACAATGAATGCCTAGAAAGAGTTACTGAGCCTATGATCTTGCTTTATACTTTGACACAGTTGGCATAATACAGGAATTACTTTCCTTTTAAACTTTCACTGCATTCATTTGTGGAATATTTCAGAGACTGGTATCTTTTTTATAGTCTTGTCTCTTCATCTGAGATTAATCTATGCAGGTTGTCCACTTTAGGTACTATTTCTTATGCTTCAGGTACTTTAAATTTCGATAATCATTCATTTCCTTTAAATTATGAAATATATCAACACAGAACTATGTGCAATAAACTAATCTTGGTTTTTTTTTTCTTTTGTCCTTATGATTTGCTTTCTCATCTCCAATTCTGATGATCTGGATTTACTCTATAAAGATTTGCTAGCTTTATAAGATAACATCAATTTTGCTCTTACAAGAACAGTTTTGGAAGTAACAACCTGAATTTATTATATCCTTAAAAGGAAAGGCAAGCAGTAGATAACAGAAATTCATAGTTTATGTACAATCTTTTTTCTGTACCACTTTGTGTATAAAAATGTTCATCTCTGTTTTTCTGTTAAGGTCAGAATACAAAGCCAATTTTTTTAAAATTAAGAACAATTCTTAGATTTGTCATTTCAATTATACTACAGAAATCTGATCTTAATTATTTCTCTTCTGTATCTGTTGGTTTATGCCTGTGTTTCTTTATAAGGTTTTGAGGTACAAGTTCTTTTCGTGAAATTTACCCTTCTTATTGATACAGGCAATAGAAATATGAATTTGACCACAAGTACTGTTTTTTATGCATACCATAGATTTTGATGAATATATTTTTTCATTATCTTTGATGTGATGTTATTATTTTTATAATTTCCATTTTCACCCAGTAAAGTTTAAAATTTCTACAGAGAACTATACCTTTTATACATGGCATCACAATTTATTAGTAGTTCTAATGCATTATAGTCTGCAAATATAACCTATAGAATCTCTAGTTTTATTTAGACACCTGTATCTTTTTTGTGGCTTAGCACTTTTTCAGTTTGTGTATAAAGTATCCAAAAATTAAAGCTGTAGAGCAGGAAAAGATCTTGGAGGCCACCTATTCCAATTTCCTTATTTGTACAAATGAGGGAAATTAGGTTCAAGAGATTAAGTGACTTGCTCAAGTTCACATAATTTGTTTTCTGCAAACCTGTGGACTGATTGCGGTGGGGCTGGAAAGAAGTGAGAGAGGATAAAAATAAATGCTTTATAATTATTTAAAATATATTTTTTTAAAAATTGATGCATGCTAAATTATACATTAATTGGAAAGTTGCACCAAGCAACCTCATGATCAATCAGATTCTATAACTTACTGTTCACTTATTTATTTGACATCAATGACAGTTTATGTGGAACTAGTAACAAAAGGTTTATTATGCAGAAATTTAATAGCATTTCAGAGATTCTTTATCATACAGAAGTAAATTATATTTCAATAATTGGCTCCTTCACCACTAACATTAGCTTGATCACTCATCACTCATCTGGTTTCCAAAAATCAAATCCTTACTCAAAGAAAAGGCAATCTGGCATAATGGAAACAGTAATGGATTTAAAGAGTCAAGAAGGCTTGACTTGAGTCAGGGAGTTTCACAGATAGAGTACTGCTAACTTCAGCAAGGTATATGATAAAATCTCTCATATTCTCATGGAATTATATATGAGTTGGAAAGTTGCACCAAACAATCTCTAAGGCCTCTATCAACTCAGATTCTAAAAGTTAATGTTGGCTTATTTCTTTATCATCAACAGCACTGTTCATGCAGACTTAATACCAAAAGGTTTGTTATGTAGAAATTTAATAGTTAGGGAGATTCAAAATTGGCTGAAGCACTAAACCAAAACTGATATGATTAATGAAATCACATCAACACCAAGAGAATGATCCAGTAGAATACTCAAGAGGATTTTCCCTTGGCCTTGTATTTTTTGACATTTTTATCACAGATAGGATGCTTATCAAATTTGGAGATGACAAAAAGCTGAGAAGAATTAACAAGTTAGGTTGCAGAGTCAAAATCTAAAAGACGTGAAAATTCAAAACCATAAACAGAATCTTTATTAAGATAAAATAGGAAAAGATATAATCATAAAGCAATATTAAAGAAAATCAACTACACAAGGACAGGAGGGGTGTTAACTAGCTAATCTGTATGAAAAAGATTCTGGAGCTTTAATGTACAGCAAATGCAATATGAGTCAATAGCAGGACAAAAAGTTCAACTCTAGACACCACATTTTAAGAAGGATATTTAAACTGAAGCATGACCGTGAGGGCAATCAGGATGCTGAAAGGGCTACAGCCCATGGGGTATAAGCAATGGCTGAATTAATGATAACTGAAGAAGAGACAAGTCTAAGGGGACATGGTAGTTATCTTTAAATTGAGTGAAGGGCTGTTATGTGAATTAGGGATCAGATTTCTTCTGTGGCCCCACAAAATAAAACCGAGAAAAATGAATGGAAATTGCAAAGAGCAAATACAGGCTTGCTGTAAAGAAAATCTAAATACCAGTTATACTTTACCAAAAATAAAATAGCCTGCCATAAAAGGTAATAAATGTCTCATCAATATATTCTCAAGATAAGACTAGATGACTGCCTATTAAATGTTTCAAAGGGTTGTTTTATTTTTTAATTCTGTTATAAAGGGCAAAATATTTGGCTGTATAAGTGCCAGTATGTTTGTTTAAAAAAAAGTTAGTGGTATTACTGTCTATTCATGCCTATACTTTTATCCTCAAGATCAGGTACAGGTCAAACATAGCTTAGCCAAGTAGAGAGAGCATATAATGATGCTGAGGAAGAGAATTGCAGTAAAGTTTCCTTATAGGCCAGGCTTCCCACCTGCAATCCATATGACTATTTATGACAAAGGTGAAAATTAAAACTTATTTCAGTCCTTCATCAAAATTCTGTAATTGGCAGTAAAATACCAAATTAGAACATACTACTCTTTAAGTCACTGAACTTTCTATTTATTATTTTGTATTCAAAGCATTATATATTTCACGTAAAGTGTCGTTCTGCAGCATTTACAAACAAATCTAAATAATAACAATAAATAATCTTCCTAAATAGATTTACCACTGTAAGTCAATGTTCACACAGAGAGATATTTATGTGGAAATTACCACATATGACACATGTATGGATCAAATACTACAGTAAACAAAAGAAAAAACGACCACATTTTTCTCAGAGAAAAGATGAGGAGAATAGATATGCGTGGGTCACACTGAACTAAAATTATTGAGAGGTGAGATGACTCTAAGATCACTGTAGTGGGGAGCAAGGGCAATTAGTTAACTATAAATGCCTAAATCTGGACACCAATGTTTGCTTCTTTCCTTTCTCACCCAGTTCACAAAAACCAGTTAGCAGCAGCCTAACCAGCTAACAATGAATATTCACGGTAACAGTTCACATCAACAGTACAAACTGTTAAATTGCCCTATTATCTTGCATCAAATGCTGGGTAATATAAGATAAAGTATCTAGGTCAGTTAACCAGTTAACATTTATTATGTTATACACCAGTTGTTATACAAAGCAATGGGGATAAAAATAAAGACAAAAGACAATCCATTTTCTCAAGGGGCTCAGAGTCTAATGGGGAGATAACTTGTCAAAAACTATGCACAGACATGCCATTTACACAGGATAAACTGGAAATAACAAACAGGGGCAAAACACTGGAATTAAAGGACAATCAGGAAAAGCTTCATATTAAAGAAGAGATTTTTGTGAGGACTTGAAGGAAGTCAAGGAAATCAGGAAGCAGAGATGGGAACAGAGAGCATTCAAGGCATGGAGTACAAGCAGTGAAAATGCCTGGAGTCAGGAGACGGAGTGTCTCATCCAGGAAACAGCAAGAAGTCCACTGTCTTTGCATGTCAGAGCACATCGGCAAGGGGAGGGAGAGAGAGAGGGGGTGAATTACACAGAGGATTTATACTTGATCCTGGAGTATGTGATAGTCGCTGGAGTTTACTGATATGGGCGTGACCTGGTTAGACCTGCACTTCAGGAAGATCATATTGACAGCTAAGGATGGGTTAGAGTGGGGAGAGACTACAAGCAGACAGACCATCCAGCAGGCTATTGAAATAATCCAAGCATAAGATTAGGAAGGCCTGAACCAGGGTGGCAGACATCAGAGGAGAAAAGGGGACGTCTTCCAAAGATGTCATGAAGGTAAAAATGACAGGCCTTGCCTGAACCTGTTCTTATCAGTGAGATGGGGAGTGTTAATCAAGGCTATAGAGGAGGTGAATTATGCACCTTAAATAAAATGATGAATGGAGAGAGAGAGAGAGACACACAGAGAGACAGAGAGAGAGAAAGAGAGAGAGAGAGAGAGAGAGAGAGAGAGAGAGAGAGAAAGAAAAGAAGTAGACTCTAAGAATGGAGACTCTGGCAAGAACTAACAAAGTCCGGGTGAATGTGAGCTTTAAAGTGTCTCAACCCAGGATCATCCCATGATGTACGTTAAGGTGGGCTCTGATCCTAGCATTAAGGACTGCAAGAAGTTAAAGCCTATTCCAGGGAGCTCAGTTTGATGCAATTAATGTGACTGAGACAACATATGGCCTGCAATAAAAATTCTAGAGCAAGAAAATAATAGCACTTTGGACTACTGCAAGATATGTCATGAGGACACTATGCTCTTAATTCAGTCACTCATTCATCAAACATGAGGATATCCATCAACTGTGGGAATACCATACTCTTAATTCAGTCACTCATTCACCAGACATTTATAAAGTATCTACTATGTGCAAGGCACAAAAGGAGACAGAAAGCTACAATAATCCCATTTTCATGGTACTTAACAATATGAAAACAGGTGGTGTGATGCTGGACCTGGGGTCAGAAAGACTGGAGTTCAAACCTGGCCTCAGATACTTGATAGTTGTGTGAACTTGGGCAAGTCATTTAACCTAGATCTAATTCAGTTTCCTCATCTGTAAAATAGGGATAATAACAGCACCTACCTTCCTACCAGGGTTGTTGTGAGGAACAAGTGACATAATATTTATAAAGCATTTAGCTTGGCTCACAGTAGACACTATGAGAATATTAGCTATTATTAATTTATATTGTAAAGAAAAGATACATTAAGAAAAGATGTATTTAGCATACCCTGTCCCAAAGATTCCCACTTAAAATGGAGAGGATCTTCTATACCAAAATCATACTTAAGTATAGACATGCCGATGTTAAACAACAGGGAAACCAACGTCAAATTAAAATGACTGAATATTACTCAAAGTAGTATGAATCAAAATGTTATCCAATTTGGCTTACTAGAGAATTCTCTGCTCACAAAGATAACAAAGTCAGTAATCAGAACATACTACAGATGGAAAGAAGGCAGATTCAGGAGTTTTAATATGAACACATACCTCCACTGTACACATTGCTGAGCTGCCCCACAGCCTTAGTACTTTGTGGCACTGAACTGAGAGAGCTTCTAGGCTGCATGTTATTTCCATAACCGCCATTGTGTTCCAGAAGCTGTAAAAAGTCAATACTGTCATATTTATTATCATCACACACTTTTAATGGTTTTTTTTTTCATGAATTTCAATGCATTAACAAAAATCAGCCAACATAAGTAGCTTATAATACATTTTTCTGCACCATAAAATTGGTACCACCAAGATAGGAATAAATGGCTTTAGCAAAGTTGACTAAAAAGTTAATCTCTATAAAGTGAATCCTATTTGCCCACTCATGTGCATTTTGTAGTCAAAAATATAAATCCCATGGCAAATCAGGCCCCCTATGAGAATGGGCTAGTAGTTCTGGCCAGCACAGTCACCAGCTCCTAGGAACTAACTGTGTGGCATCCCAATAGGGTGGTACTAAGCTGACAGGGAGATCAGGTTCAGTTTTCCTTTGGAGGTTGTTTCCATTCATCGCTAGGGCCTAGCTATCACTGGCCACATACCTGCCCTGCCAGACTCATTAGAATTTTCCCCACTCTAGGACCCCAACTACATAAAGCTCCCATAAAACATCATTTCCAAGCTGCTATTCTGCTTGGTTTCAATGCCACAATATCGTGGCTCCCGCAAGATAAGCTTATCACCTGAAATTCATCATCTTGGAAACTGATTCAGCTGTGATACTCAACTACACCTCAGCACCCTCAGCTGACTCTCCCCTCTGATTGGAGGACTAGAAGGTAAAGCAATAAACTCTTCCCAAGGCCCCCTTTTCACCTTCCCTTTGTGTGTGGTCTTCCCCATCAGGCTGTAAACTCCTTTGAGGGAAGGGGCTGTCTTTCTTCTTCTTAACTGTATCCCCAGTGCTTAACACAGTGCCTGGCCACAGTAGGCATTTAATAAATGTTTAGTGACTACTGACTCCCAAATTAAGTAATGATTATTTACACTAAAAAATAGGGTTCAGATGCAGTACCACACTTTCTAGGTTTACTTCACAATCTAATACCTGCTATGTCCATTCCAGCCTTAACCTTAAGGTTTTAAGTTAGGTATAATGAATAAATTATCTGCCTATCAAGTCTGAAAATTTGAAACTCTGCATACTTAATTCATCATAAAAGAAGACATACATATTGTGTTATCATATAAATGAAACTTAAAAGTGCTATAATAATGGCAGTAACAAGAAATGATAATGCTGCTACCTTAAAAAAAAAGCCTTTCTTCAAGAATGGAAAAGCATGGTTTTCTCAAGTTTCCAAACATGAAGAGAAGAGTTTTTGTGGACTGAAATGATGAATAAGTAGTTCAAAATCATTTCCTTTATAATGAAAATTTTCATCATTAGTTTATACCATTACCCAGCTTTCCAATTAGCTATAGTTTTTTCAAAGAACAGCAAGTTATATCCCCGAAGGATATTAACAGCAAGTTTGCAGAAGAAATCAAAGCTATCTACAATCCTATGAAAAAATGCAATAAATCACTGCTGATTAGAGAAATGCAAATTAGAACACCTCTAAGCTACTTCCTCACATCTATCAGATTGACCAATATGACAGAAAAGGAAAATGACAAATATTGGAGGGGATACGGGAAAACTGAGACACTAATGCACTGTTGTTGATATTGTGAACTGATCCAACCATTCTGGAAAGTAATTTGGAACTATGTCCAAAGGGCTGTAAAACTGTGCATAACCCTTTGACCCAGCAATACCACTACTAGGTCTGTATCCCAAAGAGATTTTTTTTAAAAAAGGAAAAAGACCTATATGTACAAAAATATTTATAGGAGCTCCTTTTGTGGTGGCAAAAACTGGAAATTGACAGGATGCCCATCAATTGGGGAATGGCTGAACAAAGTGTGGTATATGGTTACAATGAAATACGATATCATGCTATAAAAAATTATGAACAGGATGCATTCAGAAAAATCTGGAAAGACTAATATGAAATGATACAAAGTGAAGTAAGCAAAACCAGGAGAACATTGTACACAGTAACAACAAAACTATACAATGATCAACTATGAATGACTTAGCTATTCTCAGCAATACAATGATTCAAGACAATTCCAAAGGACTTAGGATGAAAAAAGTTATCCACCTCCAGAGAAAGAACTGAAAGCGTCTAGATGCAATCAAGGCAACTTTTTTTAAACTTTCTTTATTCTTCTTAGGTTTTTTTTGGTCTGTTTTCTTTTACAATGACAATATGGAAATATGTTTTGCATAACTACACATGTAAAACCTATATTGAACTACTTGCCTCCTCAGGAAAGGGGAAGAGGAAGGAGGGAAGAAGGAAATTAGGAACTCAAAATTAAAAAAAAAAAACTTAATGCTAAAAAATTGTTTGCATGTAATTGGAAACAAATATTTAAAGCCAAAGGACAAGTTACAAGTAATTACTGCCATACTATCACTATAAACCTCACCCCATCCAGTTTATCATCACACAGATGGTACATTTTCCTGAAAACAAGAAAGAAAACAAGTCTTATAACATAGCACCCAAGCAAAGATATAAAATGTTTTGCTTTTCTAAGAATTCAGTGACCAAAAATTTGAAAGGAGCAAGAGTTCCACACCTCATCTGGATTCATATTTGCCTGAAGTTGTCCAAAAGTGAAATGGGCAACCTCATGAGGTAGTGAGTTCTCCATCACTAGAGGTCTTCAGGCTAAATGACTACTTATCTAACATGCTGTTGTGAGTAGATATCTTCTCAGACAAAGTAGATAGTTACTGATATTCTATGATTAATTCTATGATTGTTCTACAATAACTAGAGCAGGAACTTAGCAAGAATTCCAAACTAAAAAAAAGATGTGTTGGAATATAATGAATGCTTAGCTAGGGAATGAGAGCTGTAAATTTGCCAGAACCGGACTGTATAATCAGCCCAAAAATGGGAGCCTTGGACATGAGTTGGACGATGCAAAATCAGAGATGAGACCAGACTGAGCTATCAATATGAGTAAAATTAGCACATTTATGCTAATATACTTAAGATGTCTCAGAGATAAGAGGTGAACTGGAATCCCTAGAAAAGGACAATATTTGTATTAAGAAATATGACGCACACACATACACACATATTCAATCAGAGACAAATACATAAATGCATGCTACTGCTAGGTGTTATCCAATCTCAAGCAGCAAGTTCCAATCTATGATACCATAAACTGTGTCAGAGTCCAGTCCTATTTGAAGGCTCTGTTCTTGTTTTTCTGGAGACAAACCGTTAAGGAGCAATAACCAGCATTAGCTGCAAAAGGCTCCTTAGAGGGCAGCTAGGTAGCTCAGCGGATAGAGCACCGGCCCTGGAGTCAAGAGGACCTGAGTTCAAATCCAGTCTCAACCCAGACACTTGACACTTACTAGCTGTGTGACCCTGGGCAAGTCATTTAACCCCAATTGCCTTGCAAACAAACAAATAAACAAAAAAAGGCTCCTTAGGTTAAAAAGAGAAGGAGGGAATAAACGATGATGAGCATGAGCGTGATGAATGAGTTCAAAAACGACATTCTGATCTCGCTCAGTGTGCCTGCAATTTGACCCTAACTCTTCTTTCATGTTAATCCTATTCCTAGCTAGATGTTGAAAGACTGTTTGTGGTATCTGCTCCCAGAAAGAGCTGGCCACCCCTCCAGGAACCAAATATTCATAAACAGGAATACTATCAAGGATAGTTCTGAGAGGAGGTCCTTTCCCACAGATCACATATTTTTTTGCAAACTGCTTTCTTCGTTAGAAGGAACTACTAAAAGCAGGTAGCCCCGACTTTGGAGTCTCCCTCAAGGTGCAGATGTGTAGCCTGGGATTTTCCCTTTGGGACTCTGGAGGCTGAAAACTGGGATTCCCCAAGCCCAAGTGATCCAGATATGATGGTGTGAAGATTAATTGTGACAAGTTTTGATACTAATTGAAATTTAAGTATGTTTTTGTTACCTATTGGGATTTACTAACTCTAATTCTATTCTATTTACTAATCCTAATCCTATTTCATTATCTTAATAATAAATACTTTTACTATATACTTATATCTAAATCAAACTTGAGACTCTGTGTCATTTCTAAACCAATCCGAACCAAAACTAATTTAAGCTGCAGTAAATAAGGCTGTTTAGCAATACAATGAGCCAGACACTCTCGGGTCAGGAATGAACCAGGGAAAATAACTTGACTCTCAGGTTAAACTGAACAAAGAGTATATTTAAGATTTTAGCAAAGGATTTGACAGTGCCTCTCATCAAGAGCTGCAGACAAGACAATATGACTGGACAACATGACAACAAGATCAAATGACTGGACCGAAAAAGGTCTGTTTGCTTCTATGCTACTTAATATACGTATATATAAAAATACATATTTTTTTTTTGTAAAATGATGTAGATACGGCATAGATGGCAAGTATAGTAGTAAATGACCAGGTTAGGATCTAAAATGACCCAAATCCAATCAGATAATAATAGCTAGCATTTATACAATACTTAAGAGACTGCTAGTGGTGCAATGGCTAGAGTACTAGGTCTAGAGTCAGGAAGATCTGAATTAAAATAGCTGTGTGACCCGAGGTAAGTCACTTTTCCTCTGCTCAGTTTCTTCAACTATAAAATGGGGATAATAATAGTACCCATTTCACAAGGCTGTCTGTAAGGACTAAATGAGATAATATTTATAAAAGTGTTTAGTACAAGTGGCTGGCACACAGAATGTGCTATATGAATGCTTGTTTCCCCGTCCCTGCCCTTAAAGTTTGCAAAGCACTTTACAAATATTCTCATTTTATCTTCACAACAACCCTGGGAAGTAACTGCTATTACTATCTCCACTTTACAATGAAGAAACTGAAGCAACAGAGGTTAAGCGACTTGCTCAGTCATACAGCTGCTAAGTCTGAGACCACATTTGAACTCAGGTCTTCCTAACTCCACATCCAACACTACTGGGACACCACTGATCTAGTTGCCAAATCAAATGAAATTTAATAGGGATAAATGTAAAATCTTACCTAAAGGTTCAAAAATAAACTTGACATCAAAATAGAAGTGATGTGGCGGGAGAGAAGTTTACTTAATAAAGAGGTGGGGGTTCTAGTGGACAACAAGCTCAACGTGAGCCAACAGTATCATGTGAGCTAAAACAAGCTAATGTGATCAGAGGCTAAATCAAGAGAAGCTCAGCATTCAGTACTAGGAAAGTCAGTCCCACTCTCGTCAGCCTCTGTCAAACCCCAGCTGCCATACTGTATTCTGTTCTGGATACCACATTTTTGGAAGGGTACTGATAAGTTCAACAGCAACAAAAATGGGGAAGGGCATGAAGACCATGTGTGGCCATATGTGGATCATATGAAGGAACTTGGGGGTATCGAACCCAAACGAGAGAAGTCTTTAAGGGAGTGTGTTAGCTTTGTTAAAGTGTTTGAAGGGTTGTCACATGGAAGACGGATTCCACTTGTTCTGCTTGGCCCCAGAGGCCACAACTGGAAACAATGGATAAAAATTGCAAAAAGGCAGAATTATACAGGTATTAACTTTGCAAGTTGCCTCTAATCTTTTGGAAAACAGGTAGAATATCATGAATATATAATAATAAATATATAATAAATTCAGAGAGTAAAATTTTCAGCAGAAGTAAGTTAAAGTGACAATCCAAGAACTTTATTTAAATCTTACCCCAGTTTGATTGTTTTTTTTTTGGGGGGGTGGCATCACCAAAACCTGTCAAACATTTTCTTCCACAAGTTCACTCTACCAAGTTTATATTAGAGGAATCACACAGATAAATGTGGCATTTATTTTACTGGGAGTACTATACTATACTCTCCCCATAACAAAGTAAGCTACTAATTTAAAGCAAACAAATATCCTACCAAGGTACAAAGACATTTGACTTTTGTTTTTGTAGTTATGGATATATAACTGTAAATGTCCCAGCTCCAATAACTCACACCCAAAGCAGAGAAAAACATTTATCACATTCATAAATTAAATTTCTAGCTACATTTCTTTACCAAATATGCCTTGTTGACTGATCTTGTACTTCATGATGTCTGAATTGCACAAGTCTTACATTTCATCCCAAGAAACCAGACATGGATGCCATAACATACCTCTGAATAAGAAGACAGAAGATTTAAATAATTATCCTTGAGAAAAGAGCAAGCAACTAATGAATCTGCTCACTGTTCTTACTCATGAAGTTTATCAGTTAATAAGAAATGCAAAAAATACTTTTAGTTCATTCCAAAACAAATCACAAAATGGTTTGTTAATGTTAAACTTTCTTTTTGATAATTCTCTGGGTTTTTTTAAATCTGCACTTCTTTGGTTTTGTTTCTTAATGATTAAAAAATTACTTGAACAACAGTTTTTGAGACGTTTCAATACCATCAACCTTTCAGTGCTCTGGCAGAAAACACAAAGAGACTACAAACTATCCTGCACAAGGCTCATAGCCAAAGATTTTTAAAATCAGAACCCAGACAGCCAAAACAACTAAAATCCAGAGAAATCTACACACAATTCAAGATCTTCTTTAGGGAAAAGCCCTGGCACTGACTGCTACCAGTGATTAAAGAATCTCTATCTGATGGAAAGGTGGTAAAACCCTAGCCAAGGATAGTCAGTAATGTTAGCAGCCCACCTCAGCCAGCCAAAACAAGGTAAGGGTAGTCTGGAGTCCTGAACCTTCAAGATGTCACACTCTGTGATGAACACTGCACAACAGAAACTTCAACAAAGTGGTCAGTACAGCCAGTGCATCAGACCACATAAAGACAAGACGTCAGGGCACCTAGGTGGCGCAGTGGATAGAGCATGGGCCCTGAAGTCAGGAGGACCTGAGTTCAAAGCTTGCCTCAAACCAAAGACTTGACACTTACTAGCTGTGTGACCCTGGGCAAGTCACTTAACCCCAATTGCCTAAAAAAAAAGGTAAGAACCTCTAGACTAAAGGATCTCTCCAGTCCCTTCCAATTTCACATTTAAGGGCTCATGAATCAAAACTTATTTTATTAATCTGGCACACGGAGGTGGACAAACAAGGAAAAGGGATGAATGAAGAATCACTGAAGAGAATCTGAATCTCAAGGTTTAATACAATAAACTAAGACTTTCTGAAGAAAAGCATGAGGTAATAATGCAGGCAGTAAGAGGGTGGGAACCAATGGGCAGAGACCCAACCCACACGCCTTGTTTTCAAACATCAGCAGCCCCCTGAATTCAAATGCTGGGGGGCAGCATGAGGAGATGGAAAGAGAATCAGAACCAACATGAAGACCTGTAAACAACAGACATACTGAAGGCTGAGAACACAGCCAAGTGTCCTACACTGAGAGTGAGAACACATGGGTTCTAGGACTGGATCTGGGTGATCTTGACAGCAAAGAACATTTCATGGCTTCAGTTTCTTTACCTATGCACAAGAGAAAGAGCTGTGGCTTTGCAATCAGAAGCTGGGTGTTCAGACCTTGGCTCTGGCATTGCTGTGCGATCACAGCCAAGCCTCTAAAGCCTTCTGGGTTTGTTTCCATACCTGTACAACAAAGAGGTTTAACTAAATGGCCTCTGCCATCCCTTTGAGCTCTAAGCCTATGAACTAATGAATCCTGAATTAAAGGGATGGCGTGCTGTGGAACTCTCATGGGAAGGGGCTCTGTAAAGTATGAAATACTATGAAAATTCAAGATGTTGTTAATCAGTATCTGCCTGATCAAATGCAGGTTCTCTACAACAGATGGACATGCTGTTGACACCAGGGTTCCAGCAGATGGAATATATTCTACTCACAGGCCTGTTGCTTCTAATGTTTTCATAAAGGCAGCTCACATCCTTCACCAGCAAACCTACCCAGATCACTGAGGTTCCAATCATGTGAGCTCCAAGAGAAACTCTTAACAAAAAAGCAAAGACTCAGGATCAAAAGCATCAATTTCCAGAAGTTGGCTGCCAAACCCATAGTCGCACAGGGGCCCAGCACACATCTACTAGGATTATTCTTTGAGGGACAACAGTAGGGGTTGTCACAGATCTTTCCTTCTGATAAACTCCAATAATGACCTTTCCTAGAGATAGTCCAGAGTAAGAGTTATGTCTCCAGTGAACTAAAAAACAGAGACTGGTAGGAGGAATGGAGGTGATGGACTAGAGAAGGAAATAGGGATTTACACAGTACTTACTATGTGCCAGGGACATATAGTGCTTCTACAAATATTATCTCATTTGATTCTCACAATAACCCTGTGAGATGGATGCTATTATTACCCCCTTTTACAGTTGAGGAAACTGAGGCAGACAGAGATTAAATGACTTGCCTAGAGTTACAAAGTTAGTAAGTGTCTGGACCAGATCTGAACTCAGGTCTTCCTATCTCTAGGTAGGCACTCTATCTACTGAGATAAGATTCATGTTTCATCCACAAAGGATGAACAAGTCTCTTTAGAAGGGTAAGAGGCTGATCAAATGAAACAGCCCCCAAGAGCCTAGTGAAGGACAAAAGAACAATCATGATGTGGCATACTCCCACTACTCCTAATGACACAAAGAAGTGAGGGAACCGGCAAGCTGCCAATCATTCAATCACGTTAGGCCTGGCTCTTCAAAGCTCAGCCTTAGAGGAGTCCTAAAACCAGGACTAATCCAATCTCCCTGAGGGTCACTCCTTAGTTTGGAGGACACCACAAGGGCTTGCCTCAATCCTCAATGACTACATCACCAAGGTTAGCAGGTCAAGGCCTGGCTTGCCCTTGACCTCAGCACAACTAAACCAAACTCTTACAAAGGGACAAGGACCAGGTTCACTTCTACAGCTGCATCTGGAACTTTTTAAAGTTAAGTCACAAGGGAAAAGAGGCAAACAGGCAGGTAACATGACTAACTCCATCCCTAAAAGGTACCTCAGGTGATCAACAAGTTTGGGTTATAAGATGTTCACCCCTGCACCACAGCACCCTCATCATTTCCCAAGCCATGAAACTATCTTCACCCTCCATCACAGGGGGTGTTGCTTTTTTTTTGCCTTTTTTTTTTTAAACTATTTCTCCATTCCTACTCTACTAATTCTAAGGATAGAAGCCATCAGTCAAGAATGTGGAAGGCTAACATTGTGCAGTAGTGGGACAGATGAGGTAGGTAAATTGATATGAAAGTAGTCTTCTTTTTTGGAAAGTTGCATATACAAGTTTAAGCACTATTTTGAATTTCCATTGCCACCTTAAGAAAGACCACTCAACAAAACAGTATAAAACCTCTTTCCCTTACCTCTGTGATAGGTGACTTCGGATTCACATTTCTAGCAGCTGCTATCTCCTGTAGCTGATTCACAAGTTCTGTGATCGACAGTCTTTCTTCTGGGTTCACCTTCAATGTGGAGCCTTAAAACAGAAGTATGTTTTAGTTAAGTCAGTCTTGAAAATGTTATCAGAACAGGCAGAATGAAGCTAGCAATTATTATCAACCCAAAAAAGCAAGAGGAAAACCTGAACCTGAATGTGTAGTCAGAAGATGTTCCCATAAAGAACAGAATTTGTATCCATTTTAAAGCAAATTTGGTAACACAGATAGAGCAATGGCAATGTAGAAGTTATCAAGACAATAAAACCTGTTAAAATTGAAAGCATTTCAGATAATAATAATAGTAGCATTTATATAAACCTTTATGGTTTACAAAGCCCTGGATATGTTATCTCATTTTATCCTCACAACAACCCTGGGAGACAGATACTGACATTGTCCCCATTCTGCAGATAAGGAAACTGACACTGAGAGAAATTAAGTAAGGGTCACACCACTAGAAAGTGGATGAAGCCCAATTTGATCTCAGGTTTTTCTTCCTGACTCCAAGTCTAGCTTACTCTACCTAGCTGCCTCACTGAATTTTTTAAAAGGATTAAACACTGAATTAAAAACAATGCATGCCCTTCAAAGTCAGATCCCCTAAATAAGGGGTCATATCAGAAAATATGCACGTGCATATACTTTGTTGAGGATCAGTGGTGTGCGTCGTAGCTTTGGTTTGGTTTTGTTGGGGATGGGAGGGAGGAGAGAAGGTAATGAAGACAGAATAAGCAATCATGCTGTTCTCACTCCTAGGAAGACAGAATAAGCAATCATGCTGTTCTCACTCCTAACCCTCCCTACAAATCTCCCCTAATACTTGTGTCCTCTCAATGTAATGTTTACAGAACAGCCCTAAGAGAGACTGTGCTGCTACATGAAACTTAACATAATTCACAATAAAAAACTCACACTAACAACTAGCAAGGTGTCCTATCAGACCCCTTTTACCAGTTCAACAGTGAAAATAAATTCCAAACCAGCAAATTTCCTCAACCAGACCAGATAATCAGAGAGGTACAAGTCTACCCTCTTGCCTTCAGATAAAAGCACACCTAAACCATTCCAGAAGTAGGAATCTAAACAGTGACTGAAGATGCTACAACCTTCCTAGGTAAAAATGCCCCCAGCTAATCCTCTTCATCCATGTGGAGTCACAGAATAGAGAAAAGATAACTTTCAATCCTTCTCCAGTTCTCTCCTCTACAGGTTTTAAAAGGCCAAGTTGGCAGAAAGAGCAGGACCAGGTAACAGCAAGGCAGTGGCAAATAGTGCCAGTAGGGACCGCCATGCTTGCTCAGTCTGCTTCCCTTCTACCCCGTATATGACCACAGAAGCAGAAGCCAGGACATCTAGCAGCTCGGGGCAGCCCAAAAAATCCCTACTATTCAGATCCTTAAGGTCAAAAGATCAGGGAATGATCCAGTTATAGGCTGGTAACTGAAGCTCCTCTGGATCGAAGGGCCAAGTGTTTCCAAAAAATCTACATGCAGATAAACAAGTCGATTTTCCTCTCACATGAACCTTCAAGATAACTTTTGCTTGGTCATGGTTGGGTTGATGAGCACAAATACAGGAAAGTGAGTCAGGCAGAGGGGAGAAGAAACAAGTGCAGAGAAAGAAAGTGCTCCCTCAAATTTACAGGAAAAAAAAAGTTAAACCTCTCACTCTCTATCATTACCACAAAGAAGAAAAAAGTTACCTTCACGTTTCAGAGTAAACATGAACACCCGGAGCATATGTGCACTGTAAAAATGACTCCTCACCTTGTGCTGCTCTAAGAAACTATAGTAACTCATTCAGGGTAGAATCATTACCAGGTTATGATGATGACTTCAGACTATCAACAGAATATCATGTGATCTAAGAAATGCCTAGGATGACCGGGCTGGATGATTCAGATACAATGGAATCTGAACTAGCCCTGATCAGTTTAATTGTTCCTTAAGGCAAAGTAAACTCCTTAGTGGAATTACAGCTCATTTTTTATGGATGATACCTGAGCCCCGCCCCCCTACCTAACCTTCTGCTATCTGTGGATGGCTCCACCATTCTCCCAGGGAACCTTGGAGTTATTCATGACTCTACTCACTTCCTACTACCCTTCCCCTCCCACCACACCCAATCAGTTAACAGCAGCTTTCCCAAACACTTCAAAATAGTTCTCTAGTCTACCAATCCACCAATTATTAAACACCTAATAAGTGTTAAGTACTGGGGTAACAAAGAAAAATGACAACACGATCAAGGCCTACAAGGAATTAATCCCCTGGGGAGATAAGAAATAGGGAAATAAGTATGATAAAAAACAGACTGTGATAAGAAGTTCAGGCACAGTATCTTAAGAAATCTGAAGAGGAAAAGGTCATTGAATTGGGGGGGGAAGGAAAGACTTCATGAAAACACTTGTATCTTGAAGGGGAAAATTCCAGTGAGGGAAAGATGTGGCTTGAGTATTTTTCAGATATGGGAGAGGATCTGCGTAAGTGAACGGACCTCCCCTTGCCCTGACAAAGCTACCACACTAATTCAGAGCCTCTTTGCTTCTTGACTAGGCTATTGTACTAACTTGCCTCCGGTCTATTCTCCATCTCTCACACCACAGCTAACTAAACTTCGTTGTGCACAGGTCCAAATATGTAACTTCCCTAACTGAAAAGCCTTCACTGACTTCCTCTTGCCTCCCAAATAAAACAAAGCACACTCCCTGGCCCAGCACTCAGATTCATCCACAACTTGGCCCCATCCTACCTTTCCAAGTTTATTTAACTATTCCCTTTTACTGACTCTTATGCTCTCAAGTGTTTTTTTTTTCAATCTCATAAAATTACATGATTTAGAAGGTTGCAATTGTAGCCAAACATACTTTAGGAAAACTATTCCAAATGTCCAATGCTAAATATCAACAAAACTAAAAGGGAATTAAATATAGTACTTGTGGCGTTTTGCATGAATTCTAACTAAACAATTAAAAGAAGCCATCCCCTTCAAAAGTGAAATAAATATGCATTTCAATTTTGACATTTCTTTGCCTTTCAGTATTTTAAAGGCCCCACATAGTATGGGAATGGAATTCTTCAACTAGATGTTTAAGTACTGCACACTTTTAATGAGTTTTAGTTTAAACTCCATCTCATCAGTTTTGGATGTCTCTATTAGAAAGAGTATTGACAAAAAGGAAGTAGGTAAGAATGGGAAAGGGAATCCAGGAAATGGAAATGTTTATCCTGGAAAACAGAAGACTTTAGGAGGAATAGTATCATCATCCTTAAGTACTTAAAGTACTATCAAGGGGAACACGAATAAGACTTGCTTTGCTTGGTCCCATAGGGTATCAAGACCCAGTAAGTGGAAGAGAAAAAGTGTTGGAAAATGGGAAAAGGACCCACATGTACAAAAATATTTATAACAGCTCTTTTTGTGGTGGCAAAGAATTGGAAATTGAGGGGATGCCCATCAACTGGGGAATGCCAATTGTGGTATATGAATGTAATGGAATATTATTGTGCTATAAGAAATGACGAACAGACTGACTTCAGAAAAACCTGGAAAGACTTGTATGGTCTGATGCTGAGTGAAATGAGCAGAACCAAGAGAACGTTGTACACAATAACAGCCATGTTGTGTGATGACTAATGTGGATAAACTTAACTCTTCCCAGCAATACAAGGATCTAAGACTTCTCCAAAGGCCTCGTGACAGAAAATGCTATCCACATCCAAAGAAAGAACTATGGAGTTTG